AAGTAACATCTTGCAGCGATCTAGTTCCGTCCGACTCGTGCCCCTGGGAATGAGGATATTGCAACGATACCGTGAAACGCGATCGATCGCGACCAGGATCGCGACGCCGTGCTGCTGGGTGCCCTGAAGTCGCCGAGGCAGCCCCCAAAGTACATCAGACGGCGGGCGATACGATTAGGTCGCGAGTCACAGGCGTTTTAGGCCCTGCGCGTCGCTGTAGGAAATCTGCGCTAAATTGGATCAACTTTTACTAAAAGTTCAGTCTTCTACCAGTGCTATTGATGTACCTGAAGAGGCACTCGAAAACTGGCGGCCAGAACCAGCTTCTAGCTGGTCAGGTCATGGTGGTAACGGTCTCTTAATATGCGCGCAGGGCCTAAAACGCCTGTGACTAGCGGCCTAATCGTATCGCCCGCCGTCTGATGGACTTTGGGGGCTGCCTCGGCGACTTCTGGAAACACCTAGGCACTGCGTCGCGATCGATGGCGTTTCACGGTATCGTTGCGATATCCTCACTTCAAAGAAAGGGCGTCGCCAGAGGGGGCAGGGAAGGGAAGCTGCCCCCGTCTAGAGATTAAAAAAAGTAGCAAAATGCAAAGCAACCAAAGTGTCTTAGTTTTCTTGACCGATAATTCCTTATTACAATTATTGTGGTTGTAGAGGTAAGACAGTAAAACAGTAAAAGTTTATATGCTCTGCACTATACCTACAGTTAATGATTTTTTTATCCTTCATATGTCAACTTGCTTATCTCTGGGCCATCAGCTGGCGACACTCTTGCTTCAAGGGGCACAAGTCGGACGGAACTTGCTCGCTGCGTGATGTTACTTGTCGTGGAGTGAGCTCAATAAGGCTGCCTGGAAGTACAGATTTCCCAACAAACGATGCCGAGAGGGCAATAATGGAAGCATAGGCGGCATATCCAGAGACTTGCTATAACTAGACTGCGCTTAACGTATCTAAGGTGTTGTCGACACAGTATGCAACACACAATGCACCGCGGGGCAAAAATCGCTGAGATGATATGCATATAATGAAATAAGCTGTTATTTTAGATGTTCCGTTCATTAATCATTCTCGTGATTAGCTCGAATTAGTGAACAGATAAATTTCTGTTGAGAATAAACCAATAAACTTAGGTTAACTTGTGCCTATCAACATGTACTCTGTCGATAAATTTTTAAATAATATGCTGATTTTCAACGGATAAAAGTTTAAAGGGCCAATGGATCAGAGCCATTCGAAGAGAAAAATTTACTCCCACCATAGTGCATTTGCGGGGAATGAAGCCGATTTTAGAAAGGTACCTACGAAGGTGTTAAACAATAATGCAATAAAGAGCGTTTTCGACTTTCCCATTCACTTAAAATAACGTAGAACTATTATTCGACATCCTTTACCAGCAAGACAACGGCAATACCTATTTGCCTATTAGGTATAGACGTAACTAAGTACTTACTGGTATTAAGTATATTTCAGGTTTTGTTACAAGAAAAATAGCTAAGTCTGTTAAATGTTCCATATGTGCAGATGCGATATTCGCATCAGAGAGTCATTCAAAGCTTTTAACTAGAAAAAAATCGTGGAGGATTGTTGCACGTATCAAGCGATGCATTAAAAATTTGCCAAATTGCTGAAAATGTGTTCAGGTTTTTCATTCAATCCACACCACACCGCGTTGTAAACAAAATGGTTATCAGCAGTCTAAGAAAAATAAATAACAGTTACAGCCCATTTGGGTTTTTGATAGGCATATATTGAATCAAAATCCGCTAAATAATCATATCTTACTACTTGCATCTTTAGTTTTAAGAGTATATTTTCCCATACGTGTTCACCACCAAAATACACATATAAATCAAATTAGGACTAGAGTAAGGCAGTTATATACCAATTTAGTTCAAATAAAATACCAATAAATTCGATTAAAACAGTTAACAGCTATATGTTATCTTTTTTTGCTACTAAAATTTAGAATAAACATGGCTAAAGCAAGCTGCAGAACGTACGTCTGCCCCGCGATGAACAGTTGGTTGCCTATCCTATCTTGACAACAGGCGTTTATAGTAAAATCTACGTTACGCGCGGTCTAGTTATAACAAGTCTCTGGGCATATCCCATCAGAGAACATGTCCACTTCCGAATCTTAATGAAATGCCCGTTTCTTTCGTCTTTCTTTGTCATTCAATAGTTGTTGCAATCCGGGGCAACTATGAGTCGCATCTGTTTTCTGAATACAAAATCAGCATCAGCAACCACAAATTATATGGAAACGACACCAAGAACGGCAAAATCCTTCAAGTATGGAATTTCCAAATTTTGAATAAATTATTGAACGATTAACGGCCTATTTACACACCAGAAACTGTTTTAACTTCAATATAATATTTCTAGCTAGTAGTGCACGTCCAAATTAGCTGGAATCGACATCCGAAACATCACGCAGGGTTAAAACTATCAAATTCAAAATTTAACCATTATTTTGAAAATACTCCAAATTTGGGGCCTAAGGGTCAGATATGATATGCAACTTTTTTAATGCCGCCATTGGCACCAGCGACCCTAAATCATTCAAAAACGACCCCTAGAATGCCGAAATTCGTCAATTTTTACAGGTTTAAAATCTTGAACACCGTTTTGAACAAAAGTGTTCAAATTTTGAACCCACACGAAAATTTCGGTGGGTGCTGCGGGTCAAAAGTTTTATTTGGACCCAATGAACACGTGTACCGAGTTTCATGCTTTTGTCACAAAATGCAGCGAAAAAATTTGTACCGCCTACGCTATAACAAAATAATAGTCCGAGAGCTAGTAGACAGAATTGCAGACCTGACTGAGGAATAGCGGGGCCGAATGAACCCTTATATATTTTTAAAGAAATGCCCCAAGAACATTTTTTGCAAAAAATTTAAAAATACAAGGGTTAATTTAATAATAATAATAATAATATTGTCTTTATTCAACCAAATAACGTAAATAATAAATAACAACAACAAACTAAAGTGACTGCTATCGTGCTAAACATGGTTGAATCCTAAGGCGAAGTTCAGATGAATTGCTGACAGCAATTCTCTGTTCTTCTACTTAACCCTACTTGGAAGTTAGTAAGAAAAATTTGAAATTTGTTGATCCATAAAAATAATTATTTATAACTTTTTTAATTATATCCAGAATATATAATAAATTAAACGAAAAGAAATGGAAACAAATGTGTTTGAGAATACAAAAATATTTAGACATGTTGCGCTATTTGGTGTTCAGAATCAAGCCTCAACTAATCCTTGCTTAACATATTCTACCAGTGATCGTTTAAAGTGGGTATGTGGTAATGATTTGATATGACTTGGAATGGTGTTATACACTTTTGATATTGCGTACGAAAACGACCTTCGAAAAAATGAAGTATTATGGAACGGTATTTCTATTAGCCCTCGATTTAAATTATGTAGGTATAAGTATCCCGAGGTATATCCGTTCGAAATGTTATCTTATTGTAGCGATACGGTGGAGATTTCATAATTAACCCATTATGGTAAAAGCAAATTGAATGCACCACTAGCGTCTGTCCTTCATATTCAGCCAATTGGTTAGGTACTTTAAGTTTATGTGAAACGTGTTCCGTGCGTCTGACGCCATAAATATAACGTATAACGACGCAGACGGGAATTTTGTACTTTTTGGATCCGTTTCTGATTATACTTGTCTATGGAATGATTATAAACTACATCACAATAATTAAAATGCGACAACACAAGGGAATCTGTTAGCCGAATTTTGATTGACGTGTTCAATAGGTCTCGGCTGACGTAAATTAATCTGAGGTTAGCATAGGCCTTTTGCAAGCAGTTAGTAACATGTCGCTTGAATCTCATATCTGTGTCAAAATAAAGACCAACGTTTGTGCACTGAAGAACAGAATCGCTTATGGTAATCTTTAAACGCCCTACAACACGATCTCGAGCTTTTTTCCTACGAAAAACACATTAGTGTAGATTTATTAGGGTTTATCAGCAAAGAGTGCTGTACACTAACTTTCAGCAGTTCAGCTAAATCCCTATTCATCCTTTTGTTCACGTCGTCAATGTCCTTTTCATCAAAAGTGTAGGTAAGTTGAGTATCATCGGCAAACATATGACATTGACAGTATTTTAATGCAGTATGTAAGTAAATGAAAAGTATAAATTATGAACAATAATGGTCCCAAGATGGACCCCTGCGGAACTCCTGAAGAAAGGTGTCGAGAACTTACAATTTGAGACCTATTATTGGAGATGTAATTTAGACATTAAGTTAACAGCAGACTCACGGAATCCAATGTATTGTAAAATTGCAAGTAGAGTGTCATAATTTATAGTGTCGAAAGCTTTGCTGTAATCAAACATGAGAAACAGTTTATTGTTGTCTACGGCACTGCAAATTTGATCAGAAACTAGTTGCAATAATGAAGTACAGCTATATAGCCGGTTCGAAATCCCGATTGTACTTCCGGTAGAATATTGTTAACGCATAAAAAGGATTTAGCCCCGCTATTCCTCAGACAGGTCTGCAATTCTGTGCTTTTAGGCATTACCATTGAATAATAATTCAGATTCTTTATTCAATGGTGCCTATTACTCAAGAAGTATTGGACAAGTTTTCAGCGTGTCTCAATTAGCTACCCAATGTCTGCAAGCTCTCCTACTATAAGGACATATCATTGTCTATCAAGTATCAAGTCACCCATTCCAATATTTGCAAACGCAGTTAAAACGCACTACAAAAACTAGTTTTAATTATAATAGTGTACCTATTCGTTAAGTGAAAAATCTCTAACCTCACCCCTAATCTTTCAGCTGTATTTAAAGATTCGCAATACCTATTTATTTATGTAATGGCATTGTAAAGTATTTAAACAATCGTAATGGTCATATAACGGTACTACATGAGATATCAGTGTGAACACCTAGGCCTTCTATGCGGACCAGAATGAATAAAAGTAGGTATACGAGTATATACTCGCATTTGGAAATCTGTTTATTGTTGTTACATTGGTAGTTATACCTAATTTTGCAAAAATGCCTAACCTATGTTTTACCTACTTAGTTTTACTAATCTTTAGAAATGAGAAAATCATCAGGATCTGCCCTAATAGCCTGCCCTTTTGGCAAGTTTTGTAAATCAAAATATTTTTTGTGGAATCGTAATCTAGTCGTTGAAGAAGCGGATTTAACAGAGTTTTCTTTTTTGTCCTTACTAAGCGTTCGCGAGCTAAGTTTTCTGCAACAACCGTTTCGTTGGCGGCCCACAAAACTGTCACAACTCTCACTTTCATTCACTTCGTGGTCTTCATTTATACATTTGTTTTTAAGTATATCTTCGATGCAGTTTTGATTTCCTTCCATTTCAGTGTTATAAAACAACGGATATGCTCTAAATGCAGAAAATGGAGAGGAATCGTACATATGGTTCGCAACGTATTTGCGTTTACAAAAAGGTGCACTCTCTTGATCTATTCGCACTTTATGTTGGGTTTCTTTATCTTTTCTTTCAACATGACGGTTCTTTCGCTTGCAGCAACAACTGTGGTGTTGACGTCGTCGTGATGAATTTATTACAGGAGAACTTGCGACAGCGCTTGTGTGAAGAGTAGACAATTCGATTGGTGCCCGAGTTGGTATTATGGGGAGTGGTAGTTTACCGTAGGGCAGGGATCGGTGATGAAGAATTCTCGCAGGAGTGAAATGGGCGCAACGAGGTTGCACGGGTTTTCCTTCAGTTTGGAGCACTGTTTCGCAAAAACAACCCTTCATTTCGGGAACCTTAAGATCACGCACCTTTTGTTGAAGTTCATTAAATGCACGGCGTAGAGGTTTTAATTCTGTTTCACATGTTTCCATTGCTATCATAATAGGATCTGTTTTGTATGTATCAAATTGATTGTTTGTGCAAGTGCATTTTGCCGGAGAAAAACTAGGAGAGTCGGTCTCAGTTACGTTACCTACCTCAGAAGTTGTTACCGTATTAAGTGCCGCGCCAGTGAGATTGGCGTCGGATGATGCTTCGTTAAGAACACTTCGAGACACGTTACTTACAGCTGTTCCCTTATCCATTTTTAGTGCGGCTGGACAAATAGGTATTTCTTTGCAAGATGTAGATTTCGAAGAGAGTGGTTGTAATCGCTTGCATGAGTTTACGTGGGGGCACGAGTGGCTACTTCTTGCTTCAACTCTTGGCTGGGACGTAGTAATCGTAATCAATATTGCAGATTTAGAAGATTGGTTCAACTTCACAGGAATCTTATCTACGCAAGAAAATTAATTAACCGCGATGTCTGTACAAAAAATATTCACTAAGTACCTGTGTCGTGTCCGCACCTGCTTTCATCCGCTCCCCTTTCTTGAAATGGACGAATTTTAAGTTTAATTACTTTAGCGGAATCTTTTCCAGATAACTGAAAATCGCCATAATTATTTTTACCATACCTACTCTTCATAATAGAACGCACCTTAATGTTATAAGATCTTGATGGACGCAACCTGGATGTCTCGTTCGGAGTTTCGACTCTACAACTTTCCGTCTCGCTTAATGAATTTAATGACTCAGACTGTAATCGTTTACCTAATGATAATACCGTTTGGACCCCAGCCGATTTGTCGCTGCAGCACGTTACTGGAATAAAAAACTCTTTTCTCTTTCTTTCGGATACGCATCCGCGTCCGGAGGGCATTGGTATTCGAGAAGGTTTTCCTTTATCAGTAGGATGAGTACTATCTTTGGCCAAACATGATGTATCTTCCGTTTGACAGAAAAAACTATTAGCCTCACTTGGTGTAGCATCACGACTCATAACTGCAGGAACAGCTGCACCGGCATTTGTAGGGTGGCATTCACAACATACGTTAGCAGATCGTTTAACATTTGCGTCATCACCAGGTGGTGGTTTTTCTAAATCTACCCCATTGGCCACGTCTTCAATGTGGGTATCAGTACTGACGTTACCACTACGCATAGTCATTTCTATTAAGGGCGCAACTTCTAATTGCATAACAGACAGAGTTGTTTGTATAACACTTGTTACTTTTTCATTAAACGGTTTACTTGAAGCAACTGCCTCTCCTCTTGATTTCAACGCAGACGCCCTGGCGCGTAGTTGCTGAGCGATTCGGTTTAACATATCTGCTTCTTGCAACGATTTGTCCAGGTCTGGTTCTTGTAATCTTTGCTCGAATTCTGCGTTCTGCAATGTTCTTTCAACTTCTGTTTCTTGTAATGTTGGTTCATCTTTTGGTTCCTGTAACGTTTGTTTAAGGTCTGTTTCCTGCAATATTTTTTCGCTCTCTGTTTCTTGTAATACTTGACCAACTTCTGCTTGTTGCAATGCTTGTTCGACGTCTGGTTCTCCTAAGATTTGATCAAGTTCCGCTCCCTGCAATGTTGCTTCACTTTCCGTTTCTTCTTCATCCGGATTAGATTGTTCTCCAAGATCGCCATCTTTTCTAGGTTTTCTAAAACTTCTTAAACTTGTAAAGTCATCGCTCCCGGGATGTTCGCTGTATGCAGTTACCTCGTCAAAACTCACTTCCCCATCAGCATTTTCAGGTGTATCTATTTCTGGAGCGTTAAACTGTACATTGGTATTTGGATTAACATTGGGAGCGTCATCTTCTGCGGGTGGGTTTTCTACGGGGTCCATGTCATTGTAAAATAGCTACGTTAAGTTGTGTTCAGTAATTAAATCAACAAACCCAAATTACTTATGTACAAAAATTTGGACTTCTTCAAATTGACATTTTCAGCACTAAATTGACAAGAGTACGGTTGGCGCAATTATTTTATGCATTCGTACAACTTGATCACTTTATCTTTGCTGAGAACTTAGATCGCGTAGGTATTACATTACATATTATCCAAGATGGTTGGCTATTTTTATACAAGATATGTCTTGTACAAACAGGTGAACAAGTGTTACTTTCCTCTAACGGTACCTACACTGCTGGTTTTTCGTACGCTAACCAGGTTCGAAACTGGTGATCACAACCAACATAATAAATCTGTAAGTTCTTGTAATTCGTAGTATCGAATAATCACATTAACATTTTTAATTTCTGATGAAGGTTGCAACGTCAAACGAAATATATTAAATTTATTAAATATCGCCAATAACGGTCTTTATATTTGGCTTACCACCTTAATGCCTACTGGACTAGGACTTCCCCCATCTTAACCACACTATATTATTAGTTAGGTACCAGTACCTAATGCTGAGAGGGAAATCTATTACCTTCACCTTAGTGGGCCGTTATAATAAAAAATAAAATCCATTCAAAAAACTAAAAACCGCCTGGTCGTCGATTGTGCTTGTAGATTAAAACTTCTTTCTTCCTTTTTCTTACTAATGCAAAAGGATAATTGCGGAGATTGGAACGTTTGGAAGAATTATATCAATTGGCGATGTCAAAACATTAAGAGCGAATATTTCCAAAACGAAGTGTCGGAAGAGGGCACTTATAACGCGCAAGTAGGACGTATGGACGAGACATATCTACTGGCACGAGTTGTGTACTAATCCTTCACTCAACGGTACAACTTATACTTGTTTGAAAAGTATACGTAGCCCATATAATATACATTTAAGAAAATTTCTTGCAGATATCATAAAAAATTCCTCTTTTAATTTGGGAATAAAAAAGAGTGACTTTCACTCAATTACATTATAATAGCATTTCTATAAATAATTACAATAATCTACTTATGTTGTTATTATTGTATCCAATTTAATTCGTTACGTATAATATATTATAATAATTTGACACTTATTCTTTAACATCAAAATCAGCGCCCTAGCAGTCAGTGGTCCCTGTGTAAGAGTGTTTCGCCGATAACGATGCATTGCAATTGTTATAACGTAAGTAAAAAATAAAGTATAAAATTAATCGTGTAGGTAAAATAAAAGGACTGTAAGTGCGACTCCAGCGATAGAGACACTAATTCTGTTTAAAACCATAAGCATCGTGCTTCTTCAGGAAATCCAAAAACGTAGAAATGGAGTGTAGTGTAACCAAAATTGTTGTTACCATATACAGCATTTTGCGATTAATCTCGATCGGCAGAAAACGCACAACACCTCGCTTTTCCTCCTTCAACGCCTCCATGCTGAGTTACTGACGCTATTGCTTTAAACAATTGTTACACAGGCTGCCCCAGCGCCCCAAGCAGCAATTAATCGTATTACAATGACACTATTTTGATGAAAATACGCCGATACCAACTATACATTACAATAAAGGATCAAAATATTTAGGTAAAAAAAGGTAGCAAGCAATCAAAAAAGATCTTACATTTTTACGCTAACTATACAATTCGGTTGAAAATAGTGACAGGAATCTTTTCGAACCCCCGGTGTTGGAACAATAAGTATTTAAATAGGTACATACATGTCCTTAATCTAATATAATTATTCCATGCTTAATATTCCCAAACGGTTTAATATAAGATAGACATGAACTGGAGTCACTGTGCTTTTACTCAAGATGGGGAGTCTATACACAGATACACTTCACTAAACTAACTGCCAAAGATTGGTTTATGGATTAACTACCTATTGGAGTTCAAACATTGGGAATGAAATTTTTATGCTCCTACTTGTCTTGCCAATCTTATAGACCTGACTTGATGCAAGAAGTGCATTGTATTAGTGCGCTAGTACAGGGGTCGGCAATCTATTGAAACAGAAGAGCCAAAAATTACAACTTATAAAATTTCCCAGTTTTGAAAGAGCCACAAAAAAATTTTGATTTAATATTATAGTATTTGGCTATATACAGGGTCCTGCAACAATGCGTCGGTTTTTCCTACATAGCTGATACCTGGTAAAAAATATTGGTGGTTGCGGATCTACAGAAATTATTTTTGCATGTATACAGGGTGTCCCATTTTTACGATGTCAATAAATAACTGATCTTTTTAAATAGAACATCCTGCATATTTTTACTTGTTTCAATGCCATTTGTTCAAACTGCTATAACTATTCTTTTTCAAATGGAACTACTACTGTTTTATTTCGCTATTCGATTGCCTTTTGCGTTCTCTTCAATGTTTATAAGGGGTGCCCTGTGCTTAAACCCCGCAGTTTTTATGTTATTCAATATTTTTCACAAAAGTACCTACTCATTAATTAATTACGTGTTTATACATGGGAGTAAGCTGCTATAATAAAAAAAACAAAAGAATACAAGAAAGTAAAGGTAAACAGGTGTCACAAATTAGATAATTATTTGCTGCAAGTGTACTTTTGATTTGGTAAACAAATAAGATTAATTAAAAAGGCGAATTTCGAACAAATGAAGTAATTTCTTTAGATAAATACGGAGAGCCGCAACTTTATATCAAAAGAGCCGCATGCGGCTCGCGAGCCACAGATTGCCGACGCCTGCGCTAGTAGAATAATACCTATCATTGTATATGTATTGTATATACAACGATAATACCTAGGTAATAACATGGATTTCTTAGAAAATGACAGTATTTATACCTATAGCAATATTTGAGTTCTCGCCCACTGAAATTGTTGATGTTGTGAATTAAGAACAGCCCATTTATTTTCCTCAAGGACTGTGAAAAAACGGAAATTGATGTTCATTAGACTATGTAAACATATCGGTGGAAATAATTCAGTTCCGCTGTGTAACTGTGCACTTTGTAGTAAAAATTTTACGTAACGTAATTAGATTTAAATCAGTACGAATTCTTGCATCGTATGTTCCTCAATCAAATCAATCATTTGGAACCATGACGGTCAAGAAAAGGAAAACAAATACATTTTTTTTAGTAAACAACTATGCAAACACTAAAACACAATTAGTCCTTAATCTTCTTGAAGTGATTGCAGAAGAGCAGAGTAATTGGCAATAAGTGATGCTTAATGTATGTATACGCACGCAATTTCCTTGCTTTCAAAATGGTTTCATCGGTCATAAAACATTAAACATGTAAATCGCATATCGTATCTGGGAGGCAGCTTCGGCTTCGTTTTTGATCACTGAATAATGATTTCTAATTATTATGACAATGTATAACTTCCATAGACTTAAATATACGGAAATTGCTATACAGGGTGGAAATTTGTTTTATACGCACCATGATAGTTTTATTATATTGATTCTCCTTTAATTATTTTACCTACTAGAAAATTACAAAGCCGGTTTCCTTAATTGAAAAATAATAAATGACGACATGAATTGACGCAGAATTTTTCGTCACAATCGTGCGTTTCTACACCCTATATACATGCATTGAATAAAAATCTCGATTTTCTTCAACGATACATGGTATAAATAGTACAATATATTAGGAACAAATCTCTAAAGTGTGTCTTTTAATTCCGAGGGTGCAGTTTTTTGCCCGAAACGGAGTTGAGATTGGAAATTACTGTCTTCTAAATTCAAAAAAGGCCGATATTAGACTATAAAAGATATTTGACAAAGATCTTTTATAATAGTATATTAAGATACAAGTGTATAGTCAAGTCTTTAAAGCACGCGCAACGAGTTTAAGGGCACGACGCAAAGCGGAGTGCCTTTAACGTTGCAAGTGCTTTAAAGACCAATTATACACGTGTATCTTATAGTATTTTTTATTATACCTGCAGTATAATTTAAAAATAGGAAATACAATGAAGTCATATTGACGTTATACTCGAATACATGTCTAATTAAGTGGGCTGGGTGTTCGCAATTTCACGATTGCCATGGAAATGTCACTTGACGTTTGCTTATAAAAATCATCGTCTTTGTGAATTAAACGATTTCCGTTGAAAAAGATAATACACCGTCCATTAAATCGATTGTTGTAAAATCTAAACAAACGTTGGTAGGTGTAAAATCCAACTCCAGTAAAGCCTATTATAAAGAATATGAAAAGTTGTTTCCATGGATGAATAGGAAGTTACTTACGAATACAGTCTTAAATGCATCCATAATGCTGGCATATATGAAGGAAATGTCAAAGGTATTTAAAATCTTCTATATTTTGGTGCATTCATTCAAAACTTTAAAGCAATGCTGCGATTAAAAAGTGGAACAGATTTGGAAGCATACCCTAAATTACGCGCGTTTGTGAAAGCTTCACCCAAAGGATAGGTACAAAAGCCAAAGAAATGTTCTGCATTTACAGAAAGCGACCTAAGAGGATTTTTTATTTCATCCAGATGACAGTTTCAAAAGTCATGCTTGAAGTATCGTTACTTAGCAACTTTAAAGCACGTGTGTTTTAAAGGCCCTTTTTCGCACGCATTTGAGTGTTTAAAACGGAGATTGTGATTCAGGTATAATAAAAAACATATTTTATAAAATATTTCACAGTGTAATATTACTTCTTTTATAAAATATTAGTTTTATAAAATATATTTTATAGGAAGTAACAACAGACGATTATACATTTGATAAAATATTTGTCAATTTTTTATAAAATATATTTTTTCAAATCTTTGATAGTGTAATATCGGCCAAAAAGATGCATGGAAAACGACTATAAAATATGGTGCAAGAACCAAAATATGCATATAAAGGTAACCGTTAATCATTAAATTGTTTGTTTCGTGCCTCATTGCATTTTAGTCCCGAGAGAAAAAGCAACACTTTAGTCCCTGAAATGGAAGACAAAACACGTTGATTTAGTTCATGGAGTAGGTAAAAGAGCAATTACATTTATATCTATTTAGGTACCGATTTCATAGCAACAGCGGATTTGCGTCACATAAACTGTTTAGTATTATACATACACCACTACACATAGTTGCCAATTTTCCAAAGCTGACATGATTTACAGTACA